AGGGGTGCAGCACCCAAAAAAAGGGGGGGGTGACATGGGTAGGGGTGCAGCACCCAAAATGGGGTTATGTCATGAGGGGAGGGTGCAGCACCAAAAAAAGGGGGTGATGCTGGGGGGGTTCAGCACCCAGAGGGGGGGTGGTGATGTAGGGGGTTGCAGCACCCAAAGGGGGGTGATGCCATGGGTGGGGGGTGCAGCCCCTGCTTGGGGTCACTCACCCACGGGGGAAGAGGTGCCCGGGAAGAGCCAGGTAGGATCCGTCCTGGAACGTGGCACTGAACTGTCCTGGGGCGTCTGGGGGGACAGGGGAGTCAGGAGTGGAGGGGGACGATGAGGAGGGCATCCCGCCCACACTTTGGGTGGAAAAATGGGGAAAATGGGAGCAGGGACCCACCGCCGCCCCCGCTGCCCTCCTGCCAGTCGTGCTCCAGCTCTGCCAGCGCCAAGCCTGTGGGAGAGAGAGGAGATGGGGGACACGTGTGCCCTCTGTGTCCCCAGGTGTCCCCTCCATATCTCCAAGTGTCCTCAAGTACACCCTCCTGTGTCCCCAGGTGTCCCAAGTGCCCTCCCAGTGTCTCCAGGTGTTCCTCCAACTCCCCAGGTGTTCCCCACGTGTGTATCCCCCGCCGTGTCCCGAGGTGTCCCCTTGCGTCCTCCCATGTCCTCAGGTGGCTTCGAGTCCCCAAGTATTCCAAGTGTGTGTGTCCCTCTGCGTCCCCAGGTGTCCCCAGTTGCCCTCCCCATCTCCCCAGGTGTCTCCAAGTGTCCCAGATATCCCCAAATATTCCCCACGTGTGTATCCATCCCCCCTAATGTCCCCAGGTGTCCCCAGGTGCCCTCCTCATGTCCCCAGGTGTCCCCCCATCTCCCCAGGTGTCTCCAAGTGTCCCCAGGTATCCCCAAGTGTTCCCCATGTGTGTCTCCTCTGCTGTGTCCCCAGGTGTCCCCAGTTGCCCTCCCCATCTCCCCAGGTGTCTCCAAGTGTCCCCAGGTATCCCCAAGTGTTCCC